TCTCTACCAAGGTCCTAAAATTTGGAACTCTCTTCCTGTTTCAGTCACTCGTTCATCAAACCTTCTTAGTTTTAGGACGAAAATGCAAGAGTTTTTACTTAAATAATCACTGAATTGGCCTAGCCACACATTTGCAGCACTTTTTCTTTACTTTATTTATTAATGTAAGTGAGGTGGCTCTCCCATAAGCCCGGTGGCTTCCTGGGTCTCTTCGCCTTCTAGCTATAACCGCTGTAAATAAATTTTTTCTATTATGTAAATAAGTGAAATAAAAGATGATGATGATAATGATAGAAAGGAAATTTTAGGCTCTTGCGTGACAAAGGAAAAAATCATTTTTAACCGACGACCCAAAAAAAAACCTCATCCGTCAGATCAGGTTAAACGACAGATTAAATATCAATGCTGACATGTAGATAAACATACCAGACCTTGAGGTAGCTTATTTATCTGCCCATGAGGGATTTACGAAGCTGCGGCATTTCTGATTCCAGCATCAAGTACGTCACTTGTCTGTACGAACTGTTATACAATTATTTATGGTTTCGCTTGCTGCATCCAAACTCAGGAGACATTTCTGGAGATCAAAGAGACAGAGGGCCACAGATTTCTCTTCCAACTTTAAGACAACTGGTTCAGTAACAGTTTATTCATAAAATTCCTGTAAGATACACTGAGGGTTTCTTTACACAAAGATGCATGGAGTACATAGATTTAACAAATTTTGAATATCTTCCTCGGATATTTTTTTAAGAAGAGCACTTATGGTATTCGCTTTAATTCTTTCCAAGACGCGAAACGATTTAAATAAGCTTTTCTCTTCATACAACGAGAAGTCAAGCATTTTTCTTGGAAAAGAACTTGTTTGGAGTTAAGTTCATTGCAGGTATTCATTGCAGGTATTGAGGTGAGGAAAGCTAATGAAGAGATATGTGGCATATTATAATCGAAAGACGGGAAAATTGGAAAAAAAAGGAAATATAAAGATTACATATTATTGATGTGATTTCTGTAGCTTTGTATCTCCCTCTAGTGATTTCGCTGGATTATAACAAGTAATAATCATAAAAAGAATTGAAAAAACAAGCGCAATAATTTTCTTAAAGAAGAACAGCAATTTTGATCACGAAACTGGGCATTAGAGGAGGTTAAATCTTTCACACTCGTGAATATGTCACCTTCATTTTTTCATCGAAATTGTTGTAAAACAAAATAAAATTTTTGATATTTTTAGGCATGTAGAATTAGCAAATGATATCATTTGGAGAATAGAGGGATTCAGAGGATGACAGTTGAACAGGTACAAATCAATCTTCATTCTGCAACTGATTAGAGCTGTTAAGAGTTCATTTTATTTATAAATAAAGGTCGTAAACTTAATTTTCGTGCAGCTGACAACAATTAAATTTAATTTCAGTCGAATTTTCTCGGGTTATTGTTCTCAGACGTGAAAGTATTTCACTTACATACACTTATAAATTTCATTGGTTTTCTCTCATTTGCCTCGTGGTTAAATAGTCTGCACGCGATGCAATTTCTTAAACCCTTAAACTCCTAGAAGGGATATAACTTGTATTATAACATAGCTAGTAAATTTGTCTAATCAAATTCAATTGGGCGAGCGTGCTTCATATTCCTATTGTGCACGCTCATGACGTCAGCAAACAAATCCCTCAAGAAAAAAATTTTCCTTCGTGCTCTCCAAACTTCCCGCGTGCTTCATATCTCGATGAACGCACGCTGACGTATGAACCAATTGTTAAACTTATCCCTGTAATATGATTACATTATCCAGGAAATAGGCAATGAGAATACTCAAAGTTTTATCTGGCAGAATTGGTTATTTTTGGTTAACACCAAGTTTTCGTACCTATGAAAGAAAACATGAAGCAGCTAGAGGGGAGAATTAATATTAGATCACGGGAGTTAAATGTTTAACTGTGCGTGATGATTATGCGGCAGTAGCGCGTGGTGAGAATGTGACAAAGCTAGATAACGTGCTGTATATAATTATAGCTCTCGTCAATATCAAAACCAGCTATTATCTCTCGAAAACAAACGAAGTTTGAAACAAAGCTCGAGGTTGAATAAAAATACACTATCCGTACGTTACTCTTGACATCGTAACATTCGCGATATATAGTAACAATAACGGTAATATGGTTGTCGGTGAAACACCGGAATTTTTTCCGTTTTCTAAAAGTGACATCTCCACCGCACGCTGTAAATGTACCATTTATATCTTCACATATAAAGGTATCAATGTCGTCATTACAGCCGGATTTATCAACATGACAATTTTACTTTCCATGTAGGCTTTTTTTAAAAATATTTAAAAATTTTTTACCTGAAACTGAATTCAATTCTTTTTTAAGGAAATGTTTGTAATGTTTTTGTATTACAATGTCCGAAATTGAATTGTTTTCCGGCGAGCTGAGTTTCGGTGCAGGGAATCTCTGTTTTCGATGCTCCTATTTAAAAATTGTTTTTCATTCACATTTACAATCAATACTCTTGAATAAAAAGAATGATACATGTCCGCTTGTGGATACGAATTTATCTGCTTCAATTGAATCTTTGGAGTGGGAATCGAAAGAAAACACATTTTGCACTCTCAGGTAGCCGATCGGAGCATAGGTTCCTGCTCGCTCACGGGTCCCACCTAAACATATAAATAGCAGAGAAATTGGGAAAACGTGTCAACAAAAGTGAAATTTTCAACACCAGAATCACGATGACTACGATTTCTTGATTACATATGAAAACGAAACCTCGTTAACAACACGATTAATTATTCTAGTTTTTTAAACGCTTTGGAACATCAACCCAACTCCTCTCGAAACTTGACACGGTAATTGTCGACGGTTAATAAATTTTTGTATTCAAATGTTCGAACTACGTATCTACAAGGTGGTTAGTAGTATCATTTCTTACTGGTTATCTATCAGAGTGTGGTTTTAGTAGGTATACCTTTTCGCGCGATGACTAAATGGGTACAATGTTTGCGTGTTTAAATCATGCGCTGGAAGATTTAACTGTGGGCTCAGTAAATGCTGATATTGGAGCAGAATCCTGTTCTGTAGGGCAAGCCAACCTCAGCAGCTTCAGGGAAATGTCCTAAATTTCCCGTTCGCTATAATATTGCAAAAGATTCTTTTTTAATTAGCAATTCGTTCACAAATAATTTTTGAGTTTCACTTCGCTTTCAGTCTACTTCCTCCGCCAAATGCACATGGCTTGGCAGTGAATTCATTCGATGGCCTACAGTATTAAGCTATGCAGGAGTCTGTGTGTTGCGCACGGCTTTCAATTTGTTGTAGATGAAGTTTCTTGATAACAAGAGTTTTGATGAATAGGACACTTCCCAATGCTATCCTCTCCAGTCCCCCAAAATAACCTCGTATTTAGTGCCTTTTTTGAATCCGAAATGAAAAAAATCGGATCCTTCCCCAACATAATTTGGAGAGGGACGAGCTCTTCCAGTTATTGTAAATTTCCTGGTTCCTTCCTTTATTGACTAGAACTTATAATTCTGTTAATAAAAAAAGAGACTTTGTCAGCTATTTTTCGATAACTTTTAGGGACATTTTACACATGCACTTTGTTTTTTATTTTTATTTTTAACAAAATAGCGCAATACAACCGATTTAATTTTATTTCTAGCTATGGCAGAAGGTAACCTCCCAACAAC